TATAACAGGACAGCCAAAACCACACACACAGGGCATTCCTAGAGCATCCAGCTCAGATGAACAAAAAGACCACATCACTGACCCCCTCAGAACACCGATATAAGACCATCCTACAAAGACTGGGAGGCTTAGCAGTTCTGTTTTATACACGGAAACAAGTAGAAAGAGCTAAAATGGGGAGACAAAGAAACAATCCCCAATGAGAGAAAATAGGAATCTATAGAGAAAGAACTAAATGAGATAGAAGCAAGAAACTTATAAGACATAGAGTTCAGAACAATGGTTATAAAGATGCTTAAGAAACATAAGTGCAAACCACAACAGTATGAAAAGGGAATTAAAGGCCATTGACATAAACCATACAGAAATCAAGAATGACATATCTGACATGAAGGACACACTGAAAGGGATTAAGAGTAGATTGAGTGAAGAAGAGGACTGAATCAGTGATTTGGAAACAAGGTAGAAATAAATACCCAATTGGAGCAGCAAAAAGAAAAATGCATCAAAAAGCAGGAAGATAGCTAAAGGGGCTTCTGGGATAACATAAAACATAACAACATCTGTATTTTAGGAATAACAGATGGGGAAGAAGATGAGCAAGGAACAGCAGTTCCCATTAGAATGTCAACTAACTTATCCAGAGAAAAACTTCAGGCCTGAAGGGAGTGGTATGAAGTATTCTAAGTAATTGAAAGCAAGGGCCTAAATCCAAGACTACTGTATCCAATGAGGCTATCATTTAAAATTGAAGGTGAAATAAAAAGCTTTTCAGACATGAAAGCATTAAAAGGGTACATTACCTCCAAATCAGCAATGCAAGAAATGTTAAAGGGACTGCTTTAAGAAGAAGAAAAGAACAGAGAGTCATCATAGACATAAAGAAAATACAAATGATAATAAAAAAATACTTATCAATAATAGCCTTTAATGTAAATGGATCAAATGCTCAAGTCAAAAGACATAGAAAGAATAAAAAGATAAGAAAACACGATCCATATATATGCTGTCTACAAGAGTCTCATCTCAGAACCAAAGATATACACAGACTGGGAGAGAAGGGATGGGAAAAAAATATTCCATGAAAATGGAAAGGAAAAGAAGATTGGAGTAACAATACTCATATCAAACAAAATAGACTTCAAAACAATGACTATAACAAGAGACAAAGAAGGCAACTGCATAATACTAACAAGGAAGATTCAACAAGAAAATATAACTTTTGTAAACATAAATATCCAATATAGGAGCACCCAAGTACTTAAGAAAACTCTTGATGGACTTTAAGGGCGATATTGACAGCAATACAATCATAGCGGGGGACTTTAATACACCACTGACAATACTGGATAGATCTTACAGACAAAAATCAACAAGGAAACCTTAAACGTCACACTAGATCAGATGGATCTAACTGATATTTATAGAACATTGCACCCTAAATCACCAGAATATACATTCTTCTCAAGTGTACATGGAACATTCTCAAAGATAGACTACATATTAGGGTACAAAACAAGTCAATAAAAATTCAAGAATATTGATAAAATACCAAGCATCTTCTCAGATCACAATGGCATAAAGTTAGAAATTAACTACAATAAAAAATTCAAAACACTCAAATACATAAAGACTAAATAGCATGTTATCAAATGAATGGATTGCTAAAGAGATTAAACAATAAATAAAAAACTTCATGAAAATGAACACACAACCACCCAAACCTTATGCAAAAGCAGTCCTGAGAGGGAAGTTTATAGCACTACAGGCCTTCCTCAAGCTATAACAAAGAGCACTAATAAACTATCTAATCCTACAATTAAATGAATTAAAAAGGTAAGAATAAGAAAAGCCCAGAGGAAGTAGAAGGAAGGAAATAATAACAATCAGAATGGAAATAAATTACATAGAGAGTAAAAAATACAGTACAAAAGATCAATCTATCCTAGAGGTGATTCTTTGAAAAGATTACAAGATGGATGAATCCCTAGCCATACTAATCAAGAAACAGAGAGAGGAGCGAAATAAATAAAATTTAAAATGAAAAAGATAATATAACTGATACCACACAAATACAAAAGATTGTAAGCAAATTCTATAAACAACTATATGCCAACAAACTGGACAAGCTGGGTGAAATGGACAAATTTTTATAAAGGTACAATCTTCCAAAATTCTTTCTGAATTCTTTCTGATTCAATCAGGAAGTATCAGGAAACCTGAACAGGTCAATAACAATGGATGAAATAGAAGCAATAATTAAAAATCTTCCAGCAAACAAAAGTCCTGAACTGGATGGATTTACAGGTGAATTTTACCAAATATTCAAATAACTAACACCCATCCTCAAACTATTCAAAAAAATTCAAGAGAAAGGAATACTTCTAAGCTCTTTTTAGGAAGTCAGAATTACCCTAATTCCAAAACCAGATAAAGATACTACATAGAAAGAGAATTACAGGCCAATATCCCTGATGGACACAAATGCTAAAACCATCAACAAACTTTTAGCAAATAAGATCCAGCAATACATTAAAAAGAGTACATGTCATGATCAATTGGAATTTTTTTCCAAGGACACAAGGATGGCACAATATTTGCAAATCAATAAATGTGACATATCACATAAACGCATTCAAAGATAAAAACCACATGATCATATCAATAGATACAGAAAAAAAAATTCAACAAAATCCAGCACCCTTTTCTTTCTTGATTGATTAAGATATTATTATATGTCCTTATCCCCCAATTGCCACCTCCACAGCCCCACTCATGCCCTCACCCACCTGTTGTCTGTGTCCATTGGTTACATAAGACGACTTTTGAAACGAAAAAAAGTCAACCAAAAATCGGGGGCAAAAGACCAAAATTGCACAAAAATTACCTGCAGATCTTGACGGCAAAGTAAATCTTTTCTTTGAAGTGGGGGGTAGTCTTATACAGGGAATATAGGCCTAAACCTACGTTTTAACTGTAAAATTAAGGGGTCGTCTTATAAGCCGGAAAATACGGTAGGCTTATATGCATGCATACAGTCCTTTGTTTGATCTCTCCCTCTTACAGCTTCTGTTCCCTACTTTCCCTCTGAGGTTTGATGGTCTGATTGATGCTTCTCTGTTTCTGGATCTGTTTTGATCATCAACTTATGTTATTCATTATATTACAGAAATGAATGAGATCATGTTATATTTATCTTTCTCTTACTGGCTTACTTCACTTAGCATAATGTTCTCCAATTCTATCCATGCTGTTGCAAATGGTAAGAATTCTTCTTTTATACAACAGTGTGGTAATTCCATTGAGTAGATTTACCACAGTTTTTAAATTTACTCATCTGGTGATGGGTACATAGGCTATTTCCAAATCTTAGTTATTGTAAATTGTGTTGCTATGAACATAGGGGCTCATATATTCTTTCTGATTGGTGTTTCTAGTTTCTTGGAATATATTCCTAGAAGTGGGATCATTGGGTCAAATGGGAATTCTATTTTTAGTTTTTTTTTTTTAGAAACTCCATACTGTTCTCCACAGTGGCTGCACCAGTCTGCATTCCCACTAGCAGTGAGTGCACTAGGCTTCCTTTTTCTCTGCATTCTCAGCAGCACTTGTCTTTGTTCATTTGTTGATGATAGCCATTCTCACAGGTGTGAGATGGTATCGCATTGTTGTTTTGATTTACATCTCTCAGATGATTAGTGACTTTGAGCATGTTTTCATATGTTTCTTGGCCGTAACTTCTGTCTTCTTTAAAAAAGTATTTATTTAGGTCCATTGTCTATTTTTTTTTAAATTGGGTTTATTATTAAGTTGTATGAGTTGCCTGTAAATGTTAGAGATTGAACCTTTATCAGTGATAACATTTACAAACATGTTATCCCATGAAGTGGGCTTTCTTGTTGTTTTGTTGATGGTTTCTTTTGCTATGCAAATGCTTTTTATTTTGATGTAGTCTCATTTGTTTATTTTGTCTTTAGTTTCCATTGCCCTAGGAGTTGTGTCGGTGAAGAAATTGTTTTGGCATATGTCTGAAATTTTTCTGCCTGTGGATTCCTCTAATATTTTTATGGTTTCCTGTGTTATGGTTAAGTCCTTTATCCATCTTAAGTTTATTTTTGTGTATGATGTAAGTTGGTGGACTAGTTTCATTTTTTTTTTTTTTGCATGTATCTGTCCAATTTCCCCAACACAATTTAAGAGACTGTCTTGACTCAATTGAATGTTCATGCCTTCTTTGTCAAATATTAATTGAGCATATTGGTTTGGGTCGATATCTGGGCTCTCTATTATATTCCATTGGTCTGTATATCTGTTCTTATGCCAGTACCAGGCCATTTTGAGAACACTGGCTTTGTAATATTATACAATTTGAAATCTGTTATTGAGTTCCCACCTACTTTGTTTTTTCTCCTCAGGATTGCTGTGACTATTTGGGATCTTTTTAAAACTCCAGATGAATATTTGGAGAGTTATTTCTAGGTCTATAAAATGTGCCATTGGTATAGTATGGGAGTGCATTGAATCTATAGATTGCTTTGGATAGTATGGACATTTTAATGATGTTGATTCTACCAAGCCATGAACACGGTATGTTTTTCCACCTGTCATTCATTTCTATGATGTTTTTCATTTCTTCTTTTATTTATTTGGTAACCCAATCATTGTTTAATAGCATGCTATTCAGCTGCCAAGTGTTTGAATTTTTGTTGTTGTTTTTATTGTAGTTTATTTCTAACATTATGCCATTGTGGTCTGAGAAGATGTGTGATATGATTTCAATCTTCCTGAATTTGGAGAGACTTTACTTGTGACCTAATATGTGGATCACTAAAATGTGAGCTTGAGAAGAATGTATATTTCATGGTTTTAAAGTGAAATGTTCTGAAGATGTTAATTAAGTCCATCTGATCTAGTAGTCATTTAGGATTGCTGTTTCTTTTCCCTTTTTCTGTCTAGAGGATTTATCCAGTGATGTCAGTTGGATATTAAGATCCCCCACTATGGTTGTATTGTTGTTGATCTCTCTTTTGATATCTTCCAGAAGTATTTTTTATGTTTTTGGGTGCTCCTGCTTTGGGTATGTATATATTTACCAGGATTATATCCTCTTCTTGTATCTATCCCTTCAGTATTATGAAGTGGCCTTCTTTATCTTTGTTATGGTCTTCAATTTAAAGTCTATTTTGTTAGATATAGTATTTCTACCCCAACTTTTTTTTCATTTCAATTTGCCTGAAAATTATTTTTCCATCCCTTCACTTTTAGTCTCTGTGAGTGCCACATATTGGGTCACAAGCAAAGTCTCTCCAAATTCAAGAAGATTGAAATCATATCACACATCTTCTGAGGTGAGTCTTTGTAGATAGCATATATATGGGACATGCTTTTTTGTTTTTATCCATTCAGCCACTCAATATCTTTTGATTGGAGCATTTAGTTCATTTACATCTAATGTTATTATTGATATATACTTGTTTGTAGCCATTGTGTGTGTGTGTGTGTGTGTGTGTGTGTGTGTGTGTGTTTTCTTTCTTCCCTATGTATTTCTTCTTTTTACAACAATCCCTTTAGCATTTCTTGCATTGCTGGCTTGGTAATGATAAACTCCCTTAACTTTATTTTGTCTGTATAGCTTTTTATTTCCCTTGGATAGAGTATTCTTGGATTCAATATCTTGCTTTGCATCACTGTGTAAGTTTCCTTCCATTCCTTTCTGGCCTGATGTGTTTCTATTGAGAAATCATTTGATTATCTAATGGGAGTTCCCTTGTATGTAACTTTCTGCCGCTAATCCAGTCATCCGCTTTTCCTAATCTACTGTTGAAATTTTCCATGGCATTTTTAAATTTTATTTTATTTTATTGCAGCTATATCACTCTTCATTTCTTCTTGATTCTTACATAAGAGTTGATTTTTTTTCATGCATTTGGTTTATGAACTGTATGACCCTTATTCTAAATTTTCCCCCTGACATTTTGCATGCCTCTATTTCACTTATCTTCTTTTCTGGCAATTCCTCCTTCTCTTTTCTTTGGGAGTTCCTTTGTCTCCCCATTTTTGCTCTCACCGAAAGATCTAGGTCAGTGGTTCTTAACCTTTCTAATGCTGCGATCCTTTAATACAGTTTCTCATGTTGTGGTGAATCCCAACCATAAAATTATTTTTTTTGTACTTCATAACTGTAATTTTGCTACTGTTATGAATCTAATGTAAATATTTGTGTTTTCTGATGGTCTTAGGCTCTATAGCAGCAGTTCTCAACCCACAGGTTAACAATAGCAATATTACAGTTATGAAGTAGCAATACAAATAATTTTATGGTTTGGAGTCACCACAACATGAGGAATTGTATTAAAGGGTTGCAGCATTAGAAAGGTTGAGAACCACTGGTCTAAGTGTTGTATCATGTGGGGGCTGCTCCTCACGTGGCATTGGTTCCTCATGTAGCAGCTGCTCCTTGGGAAGTCATGGCAGGCGCAACTCCTTAGTTGGTCGCGGCTCCTCTGATGAGCTCTGCTCTCATCAGTGGTGGTTCCTCCTGCTGGAGTCGGGGGGAAAGATGCTCATGCAGCTGCTGCTCCTCAGATGGGGGCAGCACCATTTTTTGATAAAAAAAACAAGAACAACAACAAAAAAATCACCCCTCTTATTTTAGTGGGAATAGAGGTATTATAACTGAACGTAATAAAGGCCATACCTGGTATATGACAAACCTACAGCCAACATAATACTCAATGGGCTGTATGATAAACTTACTGCCAACACAATACTCAATGGAAAAACGTAAATGATTTAATGAATGAATTTTGCAAGATGGCAGGATACAAAATCAACATCCACAAATTGATGGCATTTTTTTACACCAATAATGAATTCTCAGGAAGCGCCATGGGACATTTACACTATGAAACACTATGCAGCTGTAAAAAACAGGGATCTCTTATCCTTTGGAATAGGATAAATGGACCTGGAAAATATTATGCTAAGTGAAATAATCCAAACTGTGGAAGACAAATATCATATGATCTCACTTATTTGTGAAATCTAATGAACAAAATAAATTGACCAACAAAATAAGACCTGCAAATGTCCCAGCCATGTCCTGCGTGGTTCAGGTTCAGGTTCAGGCTGGAATACAATACTATTGTTTAAGCTTAGGTATCATCTTTGCTTTTAGTTCCAATTTTCATGTTATACCATGATCTGTCTGTGTTGTTATTCATTTAATAACTTGCCTTCCTGATACTTAATAGCAAGTTAGGTAGAACTGATTCTTTTCTGCTTTGCCTTTTTAATTTTCTATTCCTGCAGTCCTATTGTGTTCTGTGTCAAATAAAAGCCAGTTGGATTCTATTTTTAAAGTAAATTTTAAAAATATATTCTATAATTATGTCACAAAAGTGTAATATTTGTAAAGGAAGAATTATTAAAATGAGTTCTTAAATTGATGGAGGCTAATAAGATTTGATTTAACTGAAATGAAATTTTTGCATGTTTTATTATTTTAACTCCAGAAAGGGGTTAGGGGGATGTGGGACTAGATTAATCAAAGATCTTATATGGACATCAACAATAGGGTGGTGAAGGTCAGAGTTGGGGCAGGAACCAAGAGGAGGGAGCAATGGAAGGGAAAGGGGGACATTGTAATACTCTAAACAATAAAGATTAAATAAAATGAGTCTTTTCTTGTCTAAGAATTTTCACTAGTCCACCAAGCTGAGTACACTTGGTGCCAAATAAACACACTTTCCACAATAAAGTGATTGGTCATTTTTTTCTGGAGTTAAAATAATAAAATAAACAAAAATTTCATTTCCGTTAAATCAACTCTTATTAACCTCCATCAGTTTAAGAACTCATTTTAATAATTCTTCCTTTACCAATATTATAATTTTGTGAATTATAATTATAGAATATATTTTTAAAATATACTTTTAAAAATAGGACTGCAGGAATAGAAAATTAAAAAGGCAAAGCAGAAAAGAACCGATTCTATCTAACTTGCTAGTAAGTAACAGGACGGCAAGTTATTAAATGAATAACAACATAGTTGAGCTTGATGGAAGAATATTGTTTTTATAGTGCCCATACTTTTGGAATTCCCACTTTTTGTTGTCCAGTGGATGCACGTGCCATGTTTTGAGCTCAGAGAGATGTAGTGGAGGTGAAAAGCATGATGACAGTCTCCCCACACATTGGTGCACTCTTCAGAAGAGGCAGAGGCTTGGTGAGCCTTCATTCTGTGCAAAGATCATCCTGCAGATGGCACAGTTATCAACCACAGTATCCCAAGCCCAGAGGGCTACCACATTCCACTTTTTCACTTCAAAGCACTTCTTGCTGGTGTGCTGTGGGTGCCACTCAAGGTGTCCACTCTTATAGTTGTTGACATGTTGGAAACACATGATCTGTCCAAAACTTTTTTTCTTGAAATTAATTTCCCACCATGGAAGCTTAGAAAAGACTCCAAATGTATTTTTCTTCAATGATAATAATTATAATGAATTAAAAATAAGTTAATAAACCTCAAATATGATAAATAATACTAAAATAACAACAACAATAAAATATTAACTCTAAGGCTAAAAGAATTATCTAGAACTATATTCTTGAAAGTCTAGACTTATATTTTATTATTATAGCCTCCTGGAACAAATAAGAAGCATAACAATAAAGAAAAAAGAGAGAGAACAGAAGGGTATGCTCTTGGATCCAATTGATAAGAAAGGCTCTCCCTGAGAAGGAAGATCATTGCATTACTGGCCTACCTCAAAACACAAGAAAACTGATAAAAAATTATTTAAATCAACAACTTAAAGAGTTAGAATGAGAGCAATAAGAAAAACCTAGAGTGAGCATAAAGAAGGAAATAGTAAAGATCAGAGTGGAAATAAATGACATAGGGACAAAAAAAATCAATGAAAACAAGAGCTGGTTCTTTAAAAGGATGAACAAGGATTGATGAACCTCTAGCCAGGCTCACCAAGAAGCAGAGAGGACCCAAATGAACAAAATCAGAAATGAAAGAGGCAAAATAACAACAGATCCCACATAAATACAAAGGATTGTAAAAAAAAAAAAATACTATGAACAACTCTATTCCAACAAAACTGGTCAACCTAGAAGAAATGGACATATTCCTAGAAAAATACAACCTAACAAAGTTGGAGGGATCACAATACCAGCTATTAAGCTATTTTATCAAGTCAGGGTTCTCAAAACTGCCTGGTACTGGCATAAGAACAGACATATAGACCTATGGAATATAACAGAGAAACCAGAAATCAATCAAAGCCATTATGCTCAATTAATATTTGACAAAGGAGTCAAAAACACAAAATGGAGTCAAGACAGTCTCTTAAATAAATGATGTTGGGCAAATTGGACAAATACATGCAAAAAAAAAAAAAAGTGAAACTAGACCATCCACTTACACCATACACAAAAATAAATTCAAAATAGAAAAAAGACTTAAATGTAAGCCATGAAACTATAAAAATCTTAGAAGGATCTATAGGCAGCAAAATATCAAACATATTGGTGAAAGTGGAATTAATGTTTTAATGTCTTGAAACTAACTCAGAATAATCGAGGCAGAGAAAAATAGGCAATGAAACTAACCAAAAGTTGTTCTAATAACACAACTCCCACATATATCCATCCAGGAGACAATAGGTGTTAACAAAAAATACTTTGATTACACAGTTTTTTAAAAATAGTCTAACAGAGTGGAATCCTTTCTAATCACATATTTTTTTTTCTGAATTGTTATTCAGATGAAAATGCAAATATGGAATGAAACTTAATAGGAAAAAAACAACAACAACAAGAAAACCACAACAAAACAAAACAGAAAACAGGTAATATCTGTGGCACTTGTCAACTTTAAATAACTTGTTGATGGTTATGACTTCTTTGTTCATTTTGAATGTCCAGTTTTGAGTTAGTTTGTATTTTTATATTATTTCACTGAAAGAAACACTCGAAATATAAACTCAGGACCCTTACACTCCCCCACTGAGCCTCCACAAAGAAAAACAACAAACAACAGTAAGTGGGATAATATGCTACAAAATACTAGGGTCTATCTCTTGATAGGGAAAATAGGAGTTTTATGCACACAGTTATTGATAATGAAGAAGGATAAATTAATTATAAGTTTAAAAAAAAAGCCAGAAATGAAAAGGCGGTCTTAGCATAAAATTACAACAATAAGAAAAATCTCTTTGCCTTTCCAAAGTACTTCTGAGAAAGTCCCTGCAGACCTGTCAACATGCAGTTACTGGCTCACATTCAGCCCTGCAGCTCTGTGTTCCTGTGGGGTCAGAAACAAAAGCCCCCTGAGGGGGAGCTGCCAGAAAGGGATTTCCAAGCTGGGGTGGAAGATACTTCAACCACCCAGCATTTCTTCTGGGGGCGGAGAAGAGGGAGGGAGGGGTTGAAGGTCCAACAAGTAACTTCCCAGAAAAGGATGTGCCCTTTCGATTTTGATTTTCGTTCTTCTCAACCACACTGAAAACAGCTTCGCTGTGATAGTTGGCTTCATTATCAGCTTCTAAAGAGAACTGTGAACACCCTGCGGAGCCAGACTCAGGAGGAGCAAGGCAGAAAGAGGCAAGAATTTATCCGTTGTCTGCAGCTTAGGAGACAGGTAAATTCCCTCAGAGACTTGGATTTCCATGCACGTGTTCATTAAATAACATCAACAAGAACAATGCATGCTCCAGCGCAGCACACGTGGCTCTGGAGGCAAGAGTCTCCACTGTCAGCTCTGGAGGCAGCTGGCTGATGGTGGGGGCAGAGGAAGGATGGGCCCCCTGGGGCTATACGCTGTTTGGATGGAAAGCTGTTGCAGGGCAGCAGGCACAGCTTGTTCCTGGGATGCCCAGCTCCTTCTTGGGTACCCTCCCAGGCTGCACAAAGAGCCCTGCCCTGGAGAAGGAGGGGTGCACCCTACATCACCTGATTGAAGTCCTTTCTGTGACTGAGGAACCAAACCTGTCCTTTCCTAAGAAGCCCTGGTTGCAGTCACTTCCTCCATCTTCCCCTCCCCATCTCAGACATTTCCCTGGTGTCTGTGGGACATTGAAAAAACAGTGGGAAGATGATCCTTAACATACCAATTTAAACATGAAAACATACTTTATTGCATTAACTGTATTTAGTATCCCAAAGATTCTATAAAGTGGTATTTAGATGAAATACTCCATTTTAACATATTTTATTCAACTATTAAAACTATCTGTAAGGTCTAAGCCAGGTTTTTATTCTGTAGTTTACAAATGTTTAGACCCTACCAAAAATTTACATCAATTATTGTTTTTAGGTTCAGTTGTTTTGCTGTTCCTCTGTAAGAATGAAAATAAAATTCCTCAGCTTTTTATTTTTATTTTTTAAACTCCTGTAAACTAGCAACGGAAAAGTGGGAGGAGGAGAGGGAGCAAGGAGGAGTGAGAAGGACCTGGGAGCTTGTTCTGGGACACTCTGACTTGAGGAGCTGAGGGTCAGAAATGGGAATTCAACTTTCTTTTGTAAGCAACTTGGTAATGAGCTTAAACGTCTCACTTTCTGATTCAAAATGGACTGAGGAATGGAGAGTTAGGGACACCAGAAGCCTGGTAGCCTGGACTGTAGGGCTCAGCTGCTCCCTTTAGCTTCCCCATCAGGGGCAGTAGTAGTTGTGAGGTGACAGTTTAGTAGGACTTCTCCTAACTGGGATAGTAGATGGTGGAGCAGAGCATGTGGGTGCATGGAGAGATGAGAGATTCGGGTGTTCTCCTGGCTGCTTAAAGGGATGGGGTGGGCATGGAGACAGCTTCTTCATGCATGAGCTCAGTGTTCCTCATTGTAATGTGCACTAGTTTGGACTTATGGTCTTATTCTAATTCCACCTTAGATTCACCGCTTACACAGCATTTAAAATTTTACATTTTTTAGTTAATTTTTTTCCCCCCTCAAGAGCAGACTTGGCTCAGAGAGCTCTGGGATGCCATTATTTATTGGAAAAAGAGAAAGAGGGAGGAAGGAAGGAAGGGAGGAAGAGAGGAAGGAAGAAAGAGAGAGAGAGAGAGAGAGAGAGAGAGAGAGAGAGAGAGAGAGAGAGAGAGAAGGGGCCAGATACAAATGGGCTTCATTATGATTGTGGCCTCAACCCCAGCTCCCAGTCACATCCTTAAAGGTTAGATAAAGAGCATGCTGTCCCCTGATAAGGATATAATTCACTGATAAGGCCCAAAATTGCTTAGAACACTGCCTGGCTCAGCTTCATTCTTGGTATGTTCTGAAAATTAGGAAGGACCAGCACAGCACTTCCTTGAATATAAGTTCTTTCTCTGCCCTAACAAAGTCCTAGGCCATACATGCCCAGGAATTATGCAGACCCACTTGATATTTTTCACATGCATAGTTTTTATTTATTTTAGTTAGTTTTATTTATATTTTTTCTTTATTGATTAAGGTATTACTATGTTTCCTTATCCTCCAATTGCCATCTCCTCACCCCCACACTCATGCCCTCACCCACCTGTTGTCTGGGTCCATTGGTTAGGCTTATATGCATGCATACAGTCTTTTGATTGATCTCTTCCTCGTACACCCTCTGTCCCCTATGTTCCCTCTGAGGTTTGATGGTCTTATCAATGCCTCTCTTTCTCTGGATCTATTTTTGTTCATCAGTTTATGTTGTTCATTATATTCCACAAATGATTGAGATCATGTTATATTTTTCTTTCTCTGACTGACTTATTTTGCTTAGCATAATGCTCTCCAGGTCCATCCATGCTGTTGTAAATGGTAGGAGTTCCTTCCTTTTTAAAGCAGCATAGTATTCCATTGTGTAGATGTATCACATTTTTTTCTAAAGTTGTCTCCTTTTCCCCCAATTGACCCTTTCCCCCATCCCTTCCAACCCAGGTAAGAACCACTGCCCCAGTGTCTGTGTCCATTGGTTATGCTAATATGCATGCATACAAATCTTTTGGTAGCTCTCTAACACCCCCTCCCCTACCATTTGTCTCTATCCATCTATTCTTGCTCATCAAATTATGTTGATCATTATATTCTACATATGAATGAGGTCATGTGTTATTTAGTTTTCTCGACAGGTTTATTTTGCTTAGTATAATGCCCTCCAGTTCCATCCATGTTGTTATAAATGATAAAAATTCCTTCTTTTTAAAAGCATCATAGTATTCCATTGTGTAGCTGTACCACAGTTTTTTAATCCACTCATCGGCTGATGGGCACTTAGGCTGTTTCCAAATCTTAGCTATTGTAAATTGTGCTGCTATGAACATAGGGGTGCATGTATCTTTTCTGATTGGTGTTTCTGTTTTCTTGGAATATATTCCTAGAGGTGGTATTACTGAGTCAAATGGGAGTTCCATTTTTAGTTTTTTGAGAAAACTGTATACTGTTCTCCACAGTGGCTGCACCAGTCTGCATTCCTACCAGCAGTACATGAGGGTTCCTTTTTCTCCACATCCTTTCCAGCATTTGTCATTTGTTGATTTGTTGATTATAGCCATTCTGACAGGTGTGAGATGATATCTTCCTTTCTTGCCTGATGTGTTTCTGTTGAGAAATCATTTGATAGTCTAATGGGGGATCCTTTGTAACTTTCTGTCTCTCTCTTGCCACCTTTAAGATTCTCTCTTTCTCTTGAACATTTGCCATCGTACTTAAGTTGAGTGTTGGTGTGAGTCTTTTTGGGTTTATCTTCTTTTGAATTCTCTGTGCTTGTGTGACCTTTTTCTTCCCCAAATCAGGGAAGTTTTCTGACATTATTACTTCATTACTTCAAAAAATTTTCTAACCCTTGTTCCTCTTCTTGTTCTGGTACCCCTATTATTTATATGCTGCTTTGCTTCACGTTGTCCCAAAACTCTCTTAGGCTCTCCTCCTAGCCTTTAATTTTTATCTTCAATTGTTTGGGTGTGTTTTGCTCCCTATCTTCTATTTCACTAATTCACAACTCTGCTTCTTCTAGTCTACTATTGAAACTTTACATAGTGGTTTCTTTTTTAAATTTTTTTTTATTGTAGCTATATCACTCTTAATTTCTAGAGTCTTACATAAGTTGTTGATTTTTTTTTTCAATTACAAGGATATTTTTAACAGGACATGGAGGATGCAAAAACTGGGAGGAGTTCTTGTTATTCCTTACTGACAGTTTTATTAATATACACTTTTTATTGGCTTATAACATAAATCTATTTTTAAATTTTAATGCACACTTCATTTTGAAAAACAAAATAGATATCACACCACTCAGTTTCTCTAAACAGGGAATGACTGTTAAACTTTATGGCCTAAATGATTTTGAAAACTTATAAGAAAGGAGAAAAATCAAAAACTGTTTTTCTTCTGGAGCCCCAAACTCCTTCAGTCCCTTCAGTATCATAAATGGAGCCATAGATATTACATTTTATTGGTCTGTCATATGTCAAACCAAATCGTCAACCTAAAATCTCAGATTGTGATGCATACTAGTCATACTCATCATAAGTTCTATAGCTGTTCTCAACAACTAGGACCACGAAACAGAGAGATGCATGAAACCTGTGGCTTAAAATACCTCGACTTTGTCCCCAGGTTGCTCTGGTCCCAGGCAGGTCCTTCCTCAGTATCTGCCTCTCACTATCGTCTTAGAAGCTGGTTAAGCCTTATATTTGGGGAGAGGATATTCTCATGAGGTGGTGGCTTTGCTTCTCAGTGGTGATTCTGGCATAGGGTAGAGCCACTCCACAGCATTATAAGATGTTGCTGCCCAGCGCCAGCAATAACATTCAGTCAGAGGCCCTCACAGCATTGGGAACACTTTGGTCCTTGCAGAGATTCAGTGCAGGTATAGAGCCAAAAGTAGATCAATTTTTCATTGCAGGTCCTGGCTTTTGCTTACTATGACAGGAACAAAGTAGAGCACTCATATTGCTCTGAGATGGTGGGTGCTTTGCACAACTCTGCTTAGAGAATAGCATTGTAATCTTATTTCTACTGGGATGTTCTTCTAGGTTTGCAGGTTGCTATGGCATCTAGACCCAACATGATGGCCCCCATTTGCCTGGTGGAAAACATCAATGAGCGTCTGTCAGTGAATCAGAAAGCTCTAGAGATTCTTGACCAGATTTCTCAGCCAGTGGTGGTCGTGGCCATTGTAGGACTGTATCGTACAGGAAAATCCTACTTGATGAATCGGCTTGCAGGACAGAATCACGGTGAGTGGTGTCTCAGGCAGAGGACAATTCTTTGACTCCAGCTATATCACAGTTTCTTAGTTTTCTTCACTAGTCACATGAAAATAAAAGAGCTAAATTCCTTTCAATAAACAACCTTCTAATTCTAATTCTTTCTGATAAATTATGACCTTAATTAGTGTTATCTCATGCCAGGACCAATTTTGTTACTCTAACTAAATCTCAACTCATTAGTTTTCTTCCCTGATTACATGAAGAGAGAACTAAACTCCTCTCAATAAAACAAACTTCTAAGTCTAATTTTCATCACTAAATCATTACTTTAATATATCTATTGCCATATTTATAGTTTTACTTATGTTAAGGAAAATTCCTTGTAGTAATGCATGGGCTTTTTTTTTTTTTTTTTTTTTAGCTCATAATATGTTTTACTCTCTCTATAAAATTTTGCTTTTCCTATGAACGTATAAAGATAATTGCATATCTATCACCATGTTTAAAGATTTTTGTGAGTTCACATCCTATTGTTGTTAACCTCTCCCACACCATTTGCCATTTTTATTTTTATCATTTTGATTGAAAAAATATTATCTGAATTTCTTTTTCTTTAGATGTCTCTCTTCTATGCACTTCTTTTTGGCCTTTACTGGACCATTCTTTAAAATGCTCTTATTGTGGCCAAAACCAGTTTGGCTCAGTGGATAGAGCATCTGCCTGTGGACTGAAAGGTCCCAGGTTCAATTCTGGTCAAGGGTATGTACCTTGGTTGCGGGCACATCCCCAGTAGGGTGTGTGCAGGAGGCAGCTGATCGATGATTCTCTCTCATCGATGTTTCTAACTCTCTATACTCTCTCTTCCTCTCTGTAAAAAATCAATAAAAAATAAATAAATAAACTTTTAAAATGCTCTTATTGTGGTATTCAGTGACATTTATTATGTCTGATTATGAATGAACTTCACGTCCATTTTGAGCTCTTGCTGGGTATCATTTTCAAGGTTAACATTCATCTCCTCCTTTGAATAGATGACATACAAAGTAAAAAATTCTTACAAAATAGAGAAAGCACCTTCTTCTATTCTGGGGTACTTCCATTCCAAAAGGTCTGATTTTGTAGTTTCTTGGCTGCTTAGTTTGTCTATTGTCACTGTGGGTTTGGTCTCCCTTCATTTATAGGTTTCCCTCTGGGCTCTACGGTGCAGTCTGAAACCAAGGGCATCTGGATGTGGTGTGTGCCTCACCCCTATAAGCCTGGTTGCACTCTGGTCCTTCTAGACACTGAGGGCCTGGGAGATGTGGAAAAGGTAAGGCAGAGAGTGACTAATAAAATGTATTCAACCTGGATATTTTCATAAAGAACTCTTTAATTTAACTGCTTGATCTATTTGTGAAATCTAGAAATCCAATTACATATCAGGCAAATGCTTGCTTGTTTGACTCTTATTTCTAGGTAAGGCGTCATGGTACATTGAGTAAAATTTTCTATTTCTCAGCAATCCATGACTAATTTGATTCAATTGCTGAACACCATATTCCTGGGTCTCTAAGTTAGTACTGTAGATACCCATGTAAAAGCTCTGCCCTCAAAAAGTCTGCAGTTCTCTGGTGAAGTTCATTAGTACTCACCAAGCATTCTGGAAGACTTTCTGGAAGACTTTGAGATAGCTCTGAATGAGATGGTTCTATAAAAGCATGTGTTTGTCCTACAACATTTTAAGATGTGTCTTAGATATTTTAGTTTTCTACTTAAGGATGAATTGAATGATTTCTCATTTTCTTCTTTATTTTGAGACTTATTTTGATACTAGAGGCCTGGTGCACAAAACTCATGCACTGAGGTGGTGTCCCTTTTGCAGTCTGGGACCCTTTGCTTCTTACCATTGCCATTGCTTCTTACTGCTTGGCTTGCTGCTCCTTAGAGCTACTGCAGAGGCAAGAAAGGCTCCTGCCACTGCTACTGCATTCGCCAGCTCTGAGCCCAGCTTTTGATTGAGCAGCACTTCCCCTGTGGGAGCAAACTGTCCACCAGAGGAGAGCTCTTCCATTGAACATCTGCTCATCGTGGTCAGTGTGCATCATAGGGACCAGTCATTCTGATCATTCAGCTGTAATGGTCACTTAGACTTTTATTATGTAGACAGTATCTAAATTTCTACAACTTCCTATTTCTACCCAAAGAAGAGTTAGAAATTTTGTGTTTATTTTTATGTATATATCAGTCTTGCTGTCTGTATAACCTATTGTTTGTCATAAGTGCCACTTCTTATTGTAATCATTTTTTAAAATTAGGGCTTGGAGTATAAATGTACAAATCAACATTTTCCTCCAAATTTTTCTAGGTATTTTTCAATTTTGCTCTGGTGAAATTTTAGATAATGTTTATAATAGAATGAAAATTCCGTATTATGCTGTTATTTAGATCTGCTGTATTTATTCAAACAAATTAACTCCTCCTTTAAGGCTCTTCATCTGTTTGCCAGTCTCCTGTATGTGGCCATGTCTACTTTTGCTTCTGTGGGTCTTTCTATGTGCAGATACCTTCACTTATTCAAATTCACACTTTGCTAAGTCTTTAATTTTCAATCAAGATGCTGAGAAAGACTTTATGTTATGTAAAATTTTCCAACTTTCAGAGCTCTGGTTCTTCCATGCTAGACTTGTAAATTTTAATTTAATGCTTCTTAAAATTTATATTCATTATTGAAAGTATTACATATTTTTTCCTTCTTCCCATCCTGTTGACCAAGTCTTCCTCATATCTATTCCCTCCTCAGACCTTCAGCATACTATTGTCAGTGTCCATGTTTTGTGCATAGATGTATATAAGTTCTTTGGTTGATATTATCTCTCCCTCCCCCAAACCTCTTAATTTACTATTAGAGCTACAGGTTCCAATGCTTATATACATTACTTTGATGCAGCAACATACAGATATTATCCTTGTTATATTCCTTGCTACAGATGTTCATCATGGTTTTGAAATAGTCACCTTGAAAATAATATTTGTCATTTTAAACTAATTTCTATTTTAACAATAGTGGACATATTCAGTAGTTTCTCATAAACACTTCTTGGATATATCACCAGTTATTTAACTATGGAGTATTTTATATAGCCCATACAAATATATGTAGAATAAATATGTACTAACCCTTTCATCCTACATAATAAAAGAGTAATATATAAATTAACTATTCCACCAGCCATGCCCACCAGCCACACCCACCAGCCACTCAGAGCAAGCATGCAAATTAACACCAACTAAGATGGCTGCAGCCACAGAGAGCAGGAGGGAGGCTTGGGTTTCCCAGGCAATAGAAGAGGCCAAGCTTTTCTCCTGGCCTTGCCAGCCTAAGCCTCCACTCAACGCCACTAAGTTTCAATTATAGAAGGTAAACAAATCCAAACAGAAATGGCTGCTGTCACTGAGCAAGTAAAAGGCTTGGCTCTGCTCCAGGATACAAAGTTTCATTTGTAAAAGGTAAAAAATTCCAGATACCAGGTCCTCCACTTGGGTCACCAGGGTTATGGCCTGCCTGCAAACCATCACAGGCACTTCGCTCGGGCCACCCCAAGCTCCAAGGGAACCCCCACCCTGATCCGGGACACAACTTCAGGGCAAACCAGCTGGCCCTCACCCATGCACCAGGCCTCTAGCCTATTTAATAAAACTGTAATATGCAGATTGACCATCACTCTAGCAAACAATATGGCTGCCCCTTGAGGTCAAAGATCCTGTCCCTACATTGACACAAAAAGACCAGCACAAGATGGACAGCAGGGGAGGGCAGTTGGGAGGCAACAGGTCTGCAAGGGAGGGCAGTTGTGTGTGATCAGGCAAGCAAGGTAGGGCAGTTGGGGAGCATCAGGCCAGCAAAGATGGGCAGTTGGGAATGTTCAACCCTGCAGGGGAGGGCAGTTAGGAGTGACCAGGCCAGAAGGGGAGGATAGTTAGGGGCAAACAGGCTGGCAGGGGAGCAGTTAGGCATCAATCAGGCTGGGATGGGAGTAGTTAGGGGGTGATCAGGCTGGCAGGCAGAAGCAGTTAGGGGCAATCAGAAAGGCAGGCAGGTGAGCAGTTGGGAGCCAGCAGTCCTGCATTGTGAGAGGGATCCCAGATTGGAGAGGGTGCAGGCTGGGCTGAGAGACACCCCTTCTGTGCATGAATTTTCTTCACTGGGGCTCTAGTTTAACATAATAGCATACCAGGTGCTGCACTAAATTACTTTATATGTTAGTTATTTCATCCAATTCATTAAAAAGAAATCCCTGTGATGACAAAAATCACATTCACAAGTAATGTTTTTGTAATTTTAAACCTCATATGTATATTTATTTCCATCTTCAAACTTACTTGTTTGCATGGTGAGTACATTTACCTGAAATAAAAGGAAGGACTGTTAGACTTAGTGTCTGAATGGATTTCTATAGGGTAAATCCCTGACTGTCTTGCCCTAATGTATTTCCAGAGTGACCCTAAGAATGACTCGTGGATCTTTGCCCTGGCTGTGCTGCTATGTAGCAGCTTTGTCTACAATAGCATGAATACCATCAACCACCAGGCCCTGGAGCAGCTGCAATATCCTTTCAGGAACCCAACCTCCATGTGTCAAGGAAACTGTGGGAATGGAGATCCAGTCAATTTTTCTTTTCCTCTCACTTAGTTGCCTTTGGTGGACCCCAAAAAAACAGAGTAAAAGAGTGTGTTTGTAATACTATTTTTTTTTTTAATGAGAGAAATATGGGAATTGTGGGTAGAAAGTTCATTTTCCTTAGCTAGGCTCTAGTTATGTGACAGAGCTCACAGAACTCATCAGGGCAAAGTCCTCCATTATACCAGATGGAGTAGAAGAT